GTTCTAGTTCAGGTTCTCGTTCAGTTCTCGTTCAGTTCTAGTTCAGTTCTAGCTTCAGTTCTAGTTCAGTTCTAGTTCAGTTCAGTTCAGGTTCTAGTGCAGTTCTAGTTCAGTTCTAGTTCAGTCTAGTTCAGTTCTAGTTCAGTTATATTTCAGTTCTAGTTTAGTTCTAGTTCTAGCTCAGTTGTAGTTGAGTGCATATCAAACCAGGAACAAGATATACTTCCCATTTTGTGTACCTTATCCTTAAAAATGTTCTTTAAAAAATAACTGCCTAGTTATTTAAAATTTTTGTCTACATTTCTTTTCTTTTCATTTGATTTTATTTTTATTCTTACTCATAATAGACCAATAAAGTGTTAAAAGAATTTTTTTGTCTCATTTCCTACTGCATATGGCAATAACAAGACACTTGTGGCCTCAGCATACAGCCAATGGTAACCTTAACAATGACAACTATGCGAACTACAATAAAATCCAATTTTCGAAACTAAGTTTTTCAGAACAAAAGTCAAGTAGTGTTTTGTATCTGGGGATGATAAGGATGAGTTGGGTAATGCAGCCTTTCTCCTAAATATTTTTCGAAACTTAAAGATATTTTAATAAAATTTGATTTTTGCACAAAGTTTATGCAAATCTTATTCTAAGTCACACTCAACTTTTTCTCACATTCCCAAATAGATTTTTTAACATTATACACATGTGTGTTTAGAACATTATGATTTAAAATTCCATATGAAATTCTTGGAAAGAAAATTGTCAAGTAGTTTGTGTAAAGGAGACAAAAAAAAATGGTATTGGTTAAAAAGCAGTTGTCTGAAATGGTAAGTATTTTTGTGTTTTACTTAAAAAAGGTTCAAAATAGTCTTTACTTTTTAACATTACTTCTTGCTTACAGTTTTAGTCACCTTTTTTTGCTTTAGTGTATTTGAAAAAAAGTATATGCGACATTTGTTTTAAAAGATTGATGATGGCATTGATGAAGACAAAGTAGTATGTAGTGGTAGTAACACCCCAAGAGTTATATATGTTGTTTTTGGCCAGAGAACGAGTTATGTTTTCTGCTATTCTTTAAAAACATATTATGTTAATAAACGTCAAAAAATATCATGTCAATTATTTTCCAATTTATTTTAAGGAAAAATTTAAATTCAATACTTCAAAAAGCAGATGGCAAGAAAACTTAACTTTAAGTTATTCTTATAAAATATTAACTTTTATTTTTATTTAACTACTGTTTCAAACTTCAGCTTCTAATAAATCACACAAATCTGTACCGTACTTTTTGTTTCCTTTCCCCTTAAATCTCCCTGCCTTTGGCTTTAAAAAGGTCGTTCCTTTTTAATTAACATTAACAAATTAATTATTTAATACATGTACTTAAACACCGTTAAAACACAGCGTAATAAAAAAGTTGGAAATACATTGTGGTCAAGTTAAACAAAAACGTAAAAAGAAATGAATTGCGCGGTATAAAATATGTATGGTAGTACAGTCGGGGGAATATAAAGAGCACATTTTAATACCAAGACTGGAAATGAACTAGAAATAAACTAAAACTGAACTAGAACTGAACTAGAAATGAACTAGAACTGAACTAGAACTGAACTAGAACTGAACTAGAACTGAACTAGAATTGAACTAGCACTGAACTAGAACTGAACTAGAACTGAACTACTGAACTAGAACTGAACTAGAACTGAACTAGAACTGAAAAACTGAACTAGAACTGAACTAGAACTGAACTAGAACTGAACTAGAACTGAACTAGAACTGAACTAGAACTGAACTAGAACTGAACTAGAACTGAACTAGAACTGAACTAGAACTGAACTAGAACTGAACTAGAACTGAACTAGAACTGAACTAGAACTGAACTAGAACTGAACTAGAACTGAACTAGAACTGAAATAGAACTGAACTAGAACTGAACTAGAACTGAACTAGAACTGAACTAGAACTGAACTAGAACTGAACTAGAACTGAACTAGAACTGAACTAGAACTGAACTAGAACTGAACTAGAACTGAACTAGAACTGAACTAGAACTGAACTAGAACTGAACTAGAACTGAACTAGAACTGAACTAGAACTGAACTAGAACTGAACTAGAACTGAACTAGAACTGAACTAGAACTGAACTAGAACTGAACTAGAACTGAACTAGAACTGAACTAGAACGAACTAGAACTGAACTAGAACTGAACTAGAACTGAACTAGAACTGAACTAGAACTGAACTAGAACTGAACTAGAACTGAACTAGAACTGAACTAGAACTGAACTAGAACTGAACTAGAACTGAACTATGAACTGACTAGAACTGAACTAGAACTGAACTAGAACTGAACTAGAACTGAACTAGAACTGAACTAGAACTGAACTAGAACTGAACTAGAACTGAACTAATGAAATAAAAACGAAATTAAGTAATACGCTATTGATTTAATCTCCACTGTCTTAAAGATACAAAAAATTATATGTATGTATATCTTTATGTATGTGTGCTATATAGATCCCGTTAAATGCCATCGGCAAACGTTGTGTGAGTCGAATACATTATTCTATGGCATTAAAATGTTGTAATGAGCTCAGTATGAGTTGGCATACAAATTATAAACTGCGAAATGTTTTTGTAGGTGGTGGCGTTAAATACAGCGGCAGGTCCAACAAGAATAATATAAACATATAAGAACTTAAACTTGCCACTAACTTGAAAAGTTTATATAAATGAAGATTAACATTTTAAAAGTTTAATTCTTGTAATTGATTGACTGATGATATAAAATAAATTATGATTTGATGTAAAATGTTAAAAACCGCAAAAAATTAAGTATTTAGCGATACACAAGGCGTATGATTAATATAAATTAGTATGATTATAAGAGGAATAATCATACTATTTATATACACAAGGCTTATGATCAATATGAATTAATATGACAATTCGAAATTTCTTTGGGGATTTATTTGGAAATTTCACTAGAAATTGAAAACTTTACTGAAAATTGGAAATTTCACTAAAAATTTAACATTTTACAAAAAATTAAAAATTTCACTAGAAATTTTCGTTATAAATTAGATATTTTACTAGAAATTACACCAGGAAATTTTAATAGAAATTGGAAAATTCACTAGAAATTGAAAATTTTCACCAGAAATTGGAAATTTCACTAGAAGTTGGAAATTTCACTAGAAATTGGAAATTTCACTAGAAATTGGAAATTTCACTAGAAATTGAAATTTTCACTAGAAATTGAAAATTTCACTAAAAATTTAAAATTTCACTAAAAATTTTAATTTTCACTAAAAATTTTAATTTTCACTAAAAATGTTAATTTTCACTAAAAATTTTAATTTTCACTAGAAATTGGACATTTCACTAGAAATTGGACATTTCTCTAGAAATTGGACATTTCACTAGAAATTGGACATTTCTCTAGAAATTGGACATTTCACTTGAAATTGAAAATTTCTCTGGAAATTGAAAATTTCACTACAAATTGAAAACTTCACTAGAAATTGGAATTTTCATTAAAAATTGCAAGAATTCGCCAGAATATTGAATATTTTCTATACAAATGTCGAGTTATCGATAAGTTTTCTACAGAAAAGTCAAGTCTATATAAAAGGCAAGTTATCGAAAACTTTTCTATATAAAAGGCAAGTTATCGAAAACTTTTCTATATAAAAGGCAAGTTATCGAAAACTTTTCTATATAAAAGGCAAGTTATCGAAAACTTTTCTATATAAAAGGCAAGTTATCGAAAACTTTTCTATATAAAAGGCAAGTTATCGAAAACTTTTCTATATAAAAGGCAAGTTATCGATAACTTTTCTATAGAAAAGTCAAGTTATCGATAACTTTTCTATAGAAAAGTCAAGTTATCGATAACTTTTCTATAGAAAAGTCAAGTTATCGATAACTTTTCTATAGAAAAGTCAAGTTATCGATAACTTTTCTATAGAAAAGTCAAGTTATCGATAACTTTTCTATAGAAAAGTCAAGTTATCGATAACTTTTCTATAGAAAAGTCAAGTTATCGATAACTTTTCTATAGAAAGTCAAGTTATCGATAACTTTTCTATAGAAAAGTCAAGTTATCGATAACTTTTCTATAGAAAAGTCAAGTTATCGATAACTTTTCTATAGAAAAGTCAAGTTATCGATAACTTTTCTATAGAAAAGTCAAGTTATCGATAACTTTTCTATAGAAAAGTCAAGTTATCGATAACTTTTCTATAGAAAAGTCAAGTTATCGATAACTTTTCTATAGAAAAGTCAAGTTATCGATAACTTTTCTATAGAAAAGTCAAGTTATCGATAACTTTTCTATAGAAAAGTCAAGTTATCGATAACTTTTCTATAGAAAAGTCAAGTTATCGATAACTTTTCTATAGAAAAGTCAAGTTATCGATAACTTTTCTATAGAAAAGTCAAGTTATCGATAACTTTTCTATAGAAAAGTCAAGTTATCGATAACTTTTCTATAGAAAAGTCAAGTTATCGATAACTTTTCTATAGAAAAGTCAAGTTATCGATAACTTTTCTATAGAAAAGTCAAGTTATCGATAACTTTTCTATAGAAAAGTCAAGTTATCGATAACTTGTCTATAGAAAAGTCAAGTTATCGATAACTTTTCTACAGAAAAGTCAAGTTATCGATAACTTTTCTATAGAAAAGTCAAGTTATCGATAACTTGTCTATAGAAAAGTCAAGTTATCGATAACTTGTCTATAGAAAAGTCAAGTTATCGATAACTTTTCTATAGAAAAGTCAAGTTATCGATAACTTTTCTATAGAAAAGTCAAGTTATCGATAACTTTTCTATAGAAAAGTCAAGTTATCGATAACTTTTCTATAGAAAAGTCAAGTTAGCGTTAACTTTTATATAGAAAAGTCAAGTTAGCGTTAACTTTTATATAGAAAAGTCAAGTTAGCGTTAACTTTTCCATCAAAAACTCCATGAATAAGAAATAAAAATATTTCTTTAAAACTAAATGTTTTTAATATTTTAATTAAACTATTTACAAGTTATATTTTAAAATTATGTTTTTAAGTTATTACTATTTATATTAATTTATTAAGTTTACTTAAACTAAAATTTGTACTAAAATTACAATAAAGCTTTTATTAAACTACCACATATTACACTTTTCCACCAAAACTTTGCCCAACTTTCGTTGACAACTAAAGACCTGCTCGAACTCGGGATGATTGTGCACCACCTGGGGAACTCTAAGGAATGGAGTATCATGCGAGTCATCATAGTAAATACGCTTAGGATTGACGGCACAAAAGAATTGAGCGAATTTAATGAAAAACAACTGCTTATTGGTAAAATGAGTTTCACCACGAAACTTGGGCACTGAGGCACGTTGAAAATATGAATCATAGGCCAAGCGGAAACCACTAAAATCAGCTATTTTCTCATTTAGACTAGAGGGACGTTGTTTATTGAGACATTCGAGGGAACGCATAAATGACTTCTTATCGGGTAGATTTTGCATAAAGAGAGCAGAAGGATTGCCTTGACTGTCATACTGTAGACCATTGGTATCGAAGGCATGCAGCATTTCATGACCCAAAGTATTGCCCAGTTCAGCATAGAGAAAGAGTTCATGAAAATCGGGCTGAAATATAGGATACTGAAGATAGGTATGAGGTATTATTAGAAGATTGGCAGAAGGTTGATAGGCTGGCGAACCAAAGGGCCAATGAAAATAGGTGTGTATGGGAGTAAACCATTGTAGGTTTAGCATATTAAATCTTTCGGTGCGCTGATGCTGCAAGGCATTCAAATGATTCCAGTAAAAAGAATCTTTAAAAGACTCCCACGAGGCAAAGTAATCATGATAGTATTTCTCATCGGTGTTTAGAGGTAAATTGCCAATGTTAAGTTTCATGTAATAGATTTTTTCCAAAAGAAAATCTTTTTCCTCCGAGGACAACTCCTGTGAGTGTTGTGAGATTATATCGGCAAATTTTTGCTGCATGGTTTTAAATAGTTTTTGTATAACTAAGTCACTAGTAGAGCGCTTATGTTGATAGATTTCCTTTTCGTAAATATAATCCAAAGCCAAGGGTAGCAAATCACGCATATGCTGCAAACATTTTAAGGGGGAAGAGGAGCGTGGCATTTGCTTTTCCAAATAACCCAAAAACTTTAATTTCAAAGAGTGTATCAAAGTTTCTGACGAGGTTTTATAAACCAAATCACTTAGCTTGCGAAAATAGGCTAAGTTGGCCACCACCAAGGGCAAGTGTTGTATAGAATCTGGTCCTAGTATAGAAGAGAAATAGCCCTTGAAATCTAAATGTAAAACTTTATGTTCCAATTCCTCCACTGACATTTCCACTGAATAATCTAGATTATGATTTTTATGCAAAGCAGCCAGTTTCTTTATAAAACTTTGTATATTTTGCGACAGCAAGCGTGATCTTTGATCCAAAGAACCATCCATTTCATCTAAAAGCTTCTGCTCATAAGAGGTAAAACCCAAATTTTGTAATTTATCCACCTGTACATGGAAGTGTGTAGCATTACGATTCTTCATATCTAAAGTGATCAGGAAACCATTAAATCCTACAGCCTGCAGACGTCCCAGCGAAGACCATATATTCCAAGTTTTACTAGGCAACCACAAGTCCTCGACAGCAGGCCATTCATCCTCATCGGTGGGTTTTATAATTCTTAAATACTCTTTAGCATCGAAGGACTGCTGCTCCTTGCAGGCTTCATAGTACTCACGGACTTTACGATAAATGCCATTTGTTTCCTTTTTGTGTCTTAAAATTCTTTGCTCCAGAATATCTTTTAGTTTGCGATTAATTTCATACTCCAGACTGCCTATAGTATCCAAATAGTCTATATTGTGAGGCAATAAATTTTCCCAATTTCCACAGGCATATTGATAGAAATCTTGACAAGGATTCACTTCTAAGTTCATATAACTTTTGAGGGTCTGTAAAAGTTTTCTATTGGTATTTTTCGCCGGCCAAGAACGGGCCCAGCAGGCATGGAAACACACCCAAAGCATTAACAATTTTAATACATTTAAACAGTCCATGATTAAAAAATTCTATTTAAATTTATTTAATTTTGTTAATTTTCAATTAAATTTTTTTTAATTCTTCAAAATCTTTTTATTTCCCGTATTTTTTTTTTTGCTCTTCCACCGTTCACTTAACTTTTATATTTGTTACTAATTTAGTTCAAAATTTTATTTTCAAATTTATAAAACATGTCTCATGTCTTCGTATATAATTCTTTGTCAGTCTTCTTATCTCTTTGCCAGCTCACCTCTTCACTGATCTTTTCAATATGAAATTTTGAAGGCTTATGAACTGATAATGAACTTGATTCTTTTTCTTTAAATCTTATATAGGAAACATTGTTTGACATAATTTTAATACAATTTGAAAAATATGCTAATGACTTTTTAATGGGCTTCTATATCTTGTGAATTACAAAAATAATTCTGCGAAATCATAAGGAAAAGACAAGATTTTTTTACTAATTTTTTTAGGTTTCAATTTCTAGTGATAATCAAGACACAAGAATGTTGTATAAAAACTAGAGCAAATTAATACGACAAAGCGTAATTCTAATTTTAGAATTACACACAATATGAAACTGATTAGATCATTAGAGAAGTAAAGATTTTAGAGAGTCCATGATTAAAATAGAACAGTTTTAAAATAATATTTCGATTCAAATTGATAAAAAGAGATTTATAATTAGGTTGTAGAGTAATCAAGTGATCTACAAATAAAGTTTGCTATTGATAATAAACAGTAATAAAAAAAGTGGTCGACTAACAATGGATCCAATCATTATGTGATTGATCAAGATGTACTGATAAATATATAAATATGCTCGAATGATCAAGGTAATGGATTGATAAATGTACAACCAACAAGATTGAACGAGCGATCGAGTGATATTATGGCCAGTTAATCATATGATAAATTGATTCCGTGATCGAATATGACTAGACTATGACTAGACTATGACTAGACTATGACTAGACTATGACTAGACTATGACTAGACTATGACTAGACTATGACTAGACTATGACTAGACTATAACTAGACTATGACTATGACTAGACTATGACTAGACTATGACTAGACTATGACTAGACTATGACTAGACTATGACTAGACTATGACTAGACTATGACTAGGCTATGACTAGACTATGACTAGACTATGACTAGACTATGACTGACTATGACTAGACTATGACTAGACTATGACTAGACTATGACTAGACTATGACTAGAATATGACTAGACTATGACTAGACTATGACTTAGACTATGACTAGACTATGACTAGACTATGACTAGACTATGACTAGACTAGACTAGGACTATGACTAGACTATGACTAGACTATGACTAGACTATGACTACTATGACTAGAATATGACTAGACTATGACAGACTAGACTAGGACTATGACCTAGACTATGACTCGACTATGACTCGACTATGACCTAGACTATGGACTAGGACTATGACTAGACTATGAGACTAGACTATGACTAGACTATGACTAGACTATGACTAGACTATGACTAGACTATGACTAGACTATGACTACTAGACTAGACTATGACTAGACTATGACTAGACTATGACTAGACTATGACTAGACTATGACTAGACTATGACTAGACTATGACTAGATAGACTATGACTAGACTCTAGACTGATAGACTATGACTAGACTATGACTAGACTATGACTAGACTATGACTAGACTATGACTAGACTATGACTAGACTATGACTAGACTATGACTAGACTATGACTAGACTATGACTAGACTATGACTAGACTATGACTAGACTATGACTAGACTATGACTAGACTGACTAGACTATGACTAGACTATGACTAGACTATGACTAGACTATGACTATGACTAGACTATGCTAGACTATGACTAGACTATGACTAGACTATGACTAGACTATGACTAGACTATGACTAGACTATGACTAGACTATGACTAGATTATGACTAGGACTATGACTAGGACTATGACTAGACTATGCCTAAACAACTATTAGAAATTTCACAGTTATAAATTTATTTATTAATCTATAGGAACAAGTCTATGCTAAACTGCATTCTCTTCTCTCACCATCAAAAAACACTTGTACTTTTTGTTGTTATATTTAAAATTACTTTTTTAATTCCTTTTATTTATAAAATAGTAATTTACATTTCATATTATTGAAAATATATCGAAAATATTGGTTTTGTCTTTTTGATTTTTTTTAACTAAATTTGAATTTTATATGCAATTTTCATTAAGGCACATACATACATATGTACATCTATGTAAATGAACGTGGGTAAAGTAAAAAGTTATTTGAAAAAGTTTATTTTTTAACAACATAACAAAAGCAAAAAAAGGTTTTGGAATGCTATAACCCAATTTTACTTTTTAAACATCCCTTGCACTTTACACACATTATCCATATTCATCAAATTGAAATCAAAAATAGTGAGTATATTTGTTAAAAGAACTAAACACAAAAAATATAATCTATAGAAATAAATTTATGAACTATGTAAATTTGTTATACATATGTATATACAAATTTATGTTTTTTCTACATGTGTTTATACTGACACACCATATATACTATGTACATAAACATACATATATATGTATGTAAAACATTAATATATAAATTATTATGACGTGACAGAAAACAATACTTTTTAAAAGTTAAAAGTACTGTAGCGTTTATAATTAAATATTTTGAAAGTCTAGTCATAGTCTGTTTTATAGTCTAGTCATAGTCTAGTCATGGTCTAGTATAGTCTAGTCATAGTCTAGTCATAGTCTAGTCATAGTCTAGTCATAGTCTAGTCAAGTCTAGTCATAGTCTAGTCATAGTCTAGTCATAGTTTAGTATAGTCTATAGTCTAGTCCATAGTCTAGTCATAGTCTAGTCATAGTCTAGTCATAGTCTAGTCATAGTCTAGTCATAGTCTAGTCTAGTCTAGTCATAGTCTAGTCATAGTTCTAGTCATAGTTAGTCATAGTCTAGTCATAGTCTAGTCATAGTCTAGTCATAGTCTAGTCATAGTCTAGTCATTAGTCTAGTAAGTCTAGTCATAGTCTAGTCATAGTCTAGTCATAGTCTAGTCATAGTCTAGTCATAGTCTAGTCATAGTCTAGTCATAGTCTAGTCATAGTCTAGTCATAGTCTAGTCATAGTCTAGTCATAGTCTAGTCATAGTCTAGTCATAGTCTAGTCATAGTCTAGTCATAGTCTAGTCATAGTCTAGTCATAGTCTAGTCATAGTCTAGTCATAGTCTAGTCATAGTCTAGTCATAGTCTAGTCATAGTCTAGTCATAGTCTAGTCATAGTCTAGTCATAGTCTAGTCATAGTCTAGTCATAGTCTAGTCATAGTCTAGTCATAGTCTAGTCATAGTCTAGTCATAGTCTAGTCATAGTCTAGTCAGTCTAGTCATAGTCTAGTCATAGTCTAGTCATAGTCTAGTCATAGTCTAGTCATAGTCTAGTCATAGTCTAGTCATAGTCTAGTCATAGTCTAGTCATAGTCTAGTCATAGTCTAGTCATAGTCTAGTCATAGTCTAGTCATAGTCTAGTCATAGTCTAGTCATAGTCTAGTCATAGTCTAGTCATAGTCTAGTCATAGTCTAGTTCATAGTCTAGTCATAGTCTAGTCATAGTCTAGTCATGCTAGTCATAGTATCGTCATAGTCTAATTTTAAATTTTACTTTAGCCTTCTTAGCCTGAAAGTTTTATTTTGTTGAAGTTGCCTAAGCTTTTTAACCTCAACATAATTTAGTAAGTTTTAAATTCTATTGCATTTTTACCACACTATTACTTATTTAACACTGAAATATTAAAAATAATTTATTTTTAAAATTTTGTTATATAAATTTTTTATCATGTCATAAGAGCCAGAGATGATTTACCTTTTATCCAATATTAAGTTACTAAAATATGAAAATATTGTTTTAGTCTTAACAAACTTGCAGCAAAAACATAAATACATACCGATAACTATACTAAGACTCCTGGATATAGTCGTCCATGTATAGTTACAACTACAGTTATGTATATAGTTTTTACTATACATTCTTTTACATGTACATATCATTTGAACAAGTTAACAAGAAAAGTTTGTTTTAAGTAAAATCTACAATCAATGTTGTTGCTCCAATGTCAATATTTATATTGGTCAATATAACAGTAGGAATAACAGGACTATCATTCACTCTCTGCCTCTGCTGTCTCGGTCTTCATCACATTCGTGTTTGATTTCCTTTTATGTTTTCGTTACCATCAACATCAACAATATCGTCATCATCGACATTACAATCACTTCATCAACAGTGATGGCAATGATGATCATCAAAGTTATATAAATATAAAGACTTTAAAACCCAGTTAACAAAAATTCAAACGTTTCATACAGAAAAATCTTTTATGTGTTGAAATTAGCTGGTAAAAACCTTTTTGATTGTTTTAGTTTTCTTTAACAAAATTCTTCATTCGAGAAAGGCTTCGATGTTAAATAGCTATTTAGTCAACTTTGTAGTATTTGCTGGGTTCACACAGATACATGTGTATTTTTTTTTATACATGATGAAAGTGGTTGCTTTCAATTTCTGTGTGAGTATTTGTAGATTGTCTATATGATGAAAGAAAAATATCAATGCATATGTATAAACTTTGTAAATAACGGTACATATCTCGACATAGCAATGCATCAGCGACAAACACAAAGGGAACATAACACGAGACTTACAAAAGAAAATAACAATCATTAACTGATTTACAAAGGTAGATTTAAATCAAGCAAAATAGGCCTTCCTTTTTGCACCTTTAAATCAAATTCGTAAACTAATATAAATGGCGACCACAGATTCGTACACATACATGTATTATTATATATTTAAATAGTTATGGTACTGCAGTATTGTAAATATGCTAAGATTTTAACTTTCTATTTATAGTATTGGCCATAGAAAAGTCCAGCACATGGTCACAATTCGGTTCCAGTGCATAATTGGGTATATAATAAAGATATACAATTTTATAATCGAATTATGGTCCCGTAATCGTATAGTCGACCGTCTAGTCTATA